GAACGTTTTTGACCATTGAAAGGCAGGTGGGACATACTGGATAAATTGGATGGGGCTGCCCATATCTTGGGTCACAGACAAGCATCACTTCTCCTGGATAGCCAAAGAGGGATGGTTTGATCTTGGTCAATTAAAATATAGAATATAAACTTTGTCCTCAAGTAGTGTTTAAACTTTTAGGAGACATAACATTGACATTTATAACGATGGAAATTCCTTTCAGATGTGAGATTCAGATTCAGTACTGGAGGTGATCAGAGATGAGAAGAATTAACGTAGATTCAGTATCAAATCATCTGAGTTAGGCATGGGAGAATTAGTAGAATTCTAAGGCATATTTACTGGTAAAGTTAGGGCTATAGAATATAGTAAGTAAAGGGAATGACATTTTTTAAAAGTCAGAGAAATAAGAAAACACAATGTTTTTATTGATCTTTCAATATTGGTTGGAGTACAAGCTTTATGTTGTGAATAGAGTAAAATATGTATAACTAGAAAGATGCTATACTGAAGGAATATTTTGTTGCATTTTGAATGACAGGATGAGGTTTATTACTTAACTTTTCATTCATTCAATATATAGTCTTTGAATGTTTACTCTGTGCCAGGCAGTGAACTCAGCACATTCTAGAAGATAATGTAGATTTATATAAATATTTCTTTCTGAAAAACAACAGAGAGGTTTGTCTGTTTGCTTGTTTATTTTTTCATTACTCCAAGTTTAGCTGAGAAACTCAGAAGTAGAAGGTTTCTTCATAACACAAAATTGAGCAGAATAATTTGGGACACTTGTGAAAGGCACTAGGTGGCCATTCATGTCTGTTCATTCCTTTCTTTAAAGCCTGAAAACTCACCAGAGTCATAGCCTACAAGTCTTCCCTGCCATTAAGGTGACATATTTCTTCTTTACTATAAAGGTTAAAAGAGCTGTATCAATGCAAGACTCTCTGAAAACTTTTAAAAAGCATCTGACACCTGCTGTGAACTTGTCACAAAACTGAAAAAAAAATCTGGGGGTCAGGTTTTTGGAAGACTTCTGTACCACCACATCTCCAGCGAAACTACCCCTGGAAAGTACCGCTTCGACTTCACGCTTGATGGCAGTGTTCCGCAGCAAATCTGGAGAAAACACTCAGACACGTCCCAGCAGCCTGAATTCAGATTTATTGCAAAGCCAGGCTCCATTTGAATGTGCACATTATTCTTATTGAGAGTCATCAATGCTTTGTCAAACTCTACAAATGTCTTTTAAATGACCATTAAAGGAAAAAGACAGTGAAATGTGGGAGCCAAGGCTTCATGCAGTCATAATTTTCACCCCTAAATCTGAGTTCCCAAATCATCCAGCCACAGAAAAAGCACTATTGGCATGCAAAATACAAAGAAAAAATAGTGACTGTAGGTCTTCCTTTGCATCCTGGGTACTATTGTTGGTTGTGTTCCTTAGGGAAGCTGGCAGGCTGAGGGTAGGGAAGGAGAGGTTAGAGATCGCTTTACAATCTCTTTCAGTCTTTGTAATTGTGTCGCCGTGGACAGCAAGGTTTTGAAGGAGAAAAAAAAAAATCCAAAGATAGGAAGATGCGGTTGTCTAAGGTATATGTAAATATTTAAGTATGGATGCACATGAGCTTGCTGTCTATCTGTAGACATAGCCATGTGTGTATTTGCATCTCTGTGTGAGTGTGTGTGTATGCACACAAAGACAGTAATTTAACTCACCCGGATATTTATTTCTGGATATGATTGTTGGAAATACATCACACAACCATCCAAATTTTTATCCCAAATGCTGTTGAAGACTGTGGATAATTAAATATTTGTAGTTGCATCGGGGAAGCAGAATTAATAGCAGGCTTTCTAGTTAAAAGTTTGTACCTATTCATAGTTTTGGCATTTGTTAATTTCAGATGGTATTATTGCAGATCAAATTTATTAAATGTTTTGCTTAAATACACGAAGTGCTTAAATTGCTTGCCATTATTATGCAAACCACAGTCTCAGCTACGAAAGACTCCGCACAAGTTAAAGTAACATGATTATTTCCCAAAGATCAAGTTAACTCGATCCATATAGCCTCCCAGTCTACTCAGTAAACACAGCCAAGTAATAATAATGGGATCGGCCTCCTGTACAATAGCCATCTTTGCTTTCTTCCAGAGTCACACTCAGCTTTGGCCAATTATTTGGTCCTTCTGGGCCATTGATCATATGAGAAGTCAGATGAAAGCATGTGTAGCAAAATGATCACTACTTCTGAGGCTACAACTTAGAAGATAGTTGATAATACTGAGGGCTAGCATTTGTACAACGACTTGCATGTTCTGAGGCATATTTACTAGTCTCCGTCTGTCTCTGGGTCTCTCTCAATCTGTCTTTCTGTTCCTGCATCATTTCTATGAGAAAAATATGGCAAGTTTTATTATAATTCTTGTGGTGTTGATGGGGAAATGAAAATGCAAAGAGCTAAAGTAATTTGCCTTAACTAAGATTGAGAAACTAGCAAAAGGGATAGTCGGGATTTGAATTCAAGTCCCTGATATTTTGAGCAATATTCTTTAGTAATCATAATAATATGATCTCGTTAATTGGGTAGAAATTCAACATATCCACCAAGCATATCATAAAATTTATGAATCTATACGTAGGAAAAAACGTGGCCCTCTGTAATGGCGGTCTCCCTAGGGCTGGGTTGACTGAACTTCATTCACACCTAGGTGCTTTCTGAATTTACTCTCCACTCAAAAAGTGATCATCGATAAGTTAGAAAACTTGTAGGCTTTGTTCACCATATCTGTATGGTTCTTTTTGAAATAAGTCAAATCAGACCAAATTCACAGGATTTTATAGTTCTTATTTATGTCTGTGAGTCACCATGCACAATAGCATTCCAGGATTTACTTTCATCTTAAATATCCTCTCCAAATATAGACAGAGAGAAACTAAAGACTTTACTTTTGTACTAAATACAATTAAAATTAATATTGAGCATTTTTATAGTACTGTATTGTTTCAAAGCATTTTTTCTAGTCATTTTATCTAAGTATAGAGATTTGTTGCTATAGCTCTTATTTGTAAGTAAAGGAAGTGAAATCTAATGGGCTGCCAGTTTCACACCAGTCTGTGGCAGAGCCAGAGCTAGAATCCATTACCTTATGCTGAGTTCCATACTCTTCCAAATATTTGAGAGTTTTCTCTCACTCCAGTTACCAGACTAGGGAATCCTACCGTTACTTTCCCAGCCACAACCACAGTGGGACCAAATACTCAGGAGGGCATCTCCACTGGCTTGTGTTATCAAAGCTGAGCTTTGGTTTGAAGTAGGATGTGGAAGGTAAGAAAGTGAGAAGAAAACAAAGGCATTTTGTTTTAGGAGTTCCTTTCTCGTCAGTCCATTCATTCATCAAAAGATCAGCAATATTTGTTGACCACAAATTGTGTGCCAGGCTCTGTGCTAACATTTAGCATTCAATGCAACTGACACAAGTCCCTTGCCTTTATTTTCCCTGTGTTCTCAAAGTCTTTATGGTTCCTTCCCCCACTTTAGGAGCCCTCTGATCCTCTCCACCACAACTGTCTCTAATCCTCATATTTGAAAATATAGAAACTGATTTATACTGAGGCATTTCAGGTATAATAAAGATGACATTTGAGGGCAAAGGATACTTCTAGAAACTAAACATGAAGGTAAACCTGGGTTTCAGCTGTTTCAGTAGTAGTCCACAGATACCAAACAAAAAGAAGGCAATCGGAAACACTGAAAATTCCCACACACATCTAAGCCTGGCTTTAACATTTGTGTGGGGCCCAGGGCAAGAGTGCATGTGGAGGACTGTAGCCCACTCCGCTTCTTTTCCCCTTTTGTCCCAGACTGCAAGGAGTCTCAGCCAGATGGATGGACAAGTACTCTCTGTTTCCCGTGGGGGCATGGTTTGCCCTGGGGAGAATGTTCTGAGACTGGTGCTCATGTAATTCCTAGAGGTGGCTCAGGGAGTTTGGGAAGCAAAGCATGCACATGGTCTAGAAGAGGCAGCATGCGCTCCAAGAGGCACATCTCCTTGACCCTACAGTCTTCTTTCTCCATGGGAAGAGTCATGGCCAGAGAAGGGCCAGTTTAGAGACCTCTAAAGTACAGCCCCCAGGGCAGTGGTCCCTATTCCTCAGGTGCAGTTTTGGTACCGTTCGGGCCTGTTTCTGAGAAAAATTAAAATTAGCCAAAATGTATTCTTAGCTTTCTCACCCACTTTTGTTTTTAGTTGTGTGTCTCTCTCTTTTTTTTAATGTCTTCATGTTTTTAGGATCCTGCAAATTGATCCCCCACAGGCCCCCATCTGGGACTGCTCTCTCAGGGAACTTCTTTATACCCAGGCGCTTGTCTTTTCACTCCTCTTGGTTCTCATCAGGCTGTATATAGTCCATCTAATAACTTGATACTCAATATGTCCGTGAACCTATTACAAAAGGATTACCTGAGAAATATAGAATCTTAGCTCTCATCCCCCAGGTCTACTGAATCAAAGTCTGCATTTTAGCGAGATTTCCAGGTGACACATGCACAATAAAATTTGAGAGGCATTGATGTAATAGACCTATTTTACAAGGAGATATAAAGGACTTATAGTAACTTGATATGATCTCTTTTCTTTCTTTTTCTTTTTTAAAGATTGGCTAACATCTGTTGCCAATCTTTCTTTTTCCCTTATTCTCCCCAAAGCCCCCCAGTACATGGCTGAATGTTCTAGCTGTAGGTCCTTCTAGTTCTACCATGTGGGATGCCGCCTCAGCATGACTTGATGAGCAGTCCTAGGTCCATGCCCAGGATCCAGCAAAGCAGCATGCGCGACCTTAACCACTAGGCCATGCGGCCGGCCCCTGACCTCTTCTCTCAAGATAAACACCAGATAATACTTTATAGTTTAAAATGAGATCCACGTCAGCTATGTGACATTCAAAGAGTTCATGCCTCACTTTACCTTGCACATGATACATATTCTAAAAATACGTAGTGAGTGAATGGATATTTATTTTAGAAAAGTTTGGTGAATCACACTATCTTGGCCACTTCCTACTCTCTCTCTGCAGCAGTCACGATGCCACTATGAAGGGCCCCACAGGTGTCATCAATCTTTCTTGCCATGCATCTCTTGCTGGAAGGGCTCGAGAGCTACTTGTATTCCTTCCGGTGACTGGGTACCAAGTAGTAAATGGATCCTTAGTAGAGCTGTAGAGGCTTAACAGTTGGAGTATCTTTAGGAAGAAAAATGAGCAAAACTAGTCTCAACACCATGCTACTTAGTGTAAATACTTATGTTTATTTCTACAATAGCAATCATTTAACCAGCAAAATATACCATGTAGAACAATCAATCATCTTCCTTAAACTTGGTTAGGTTTTCTTTCTTCCATAAAGTCTTGCCCAGATAATTTTCATAATTTTCTTTAACATTTTTCAGTTTCTATTTTGCTGCTGATAAAAATACAGACATTGAAATCCTCACAAGCATATTTTTAGCTTCTCTCCGTAGACACTAAAAACCTTCAAGTGGCTTTTAGTTTGCACAGCTATTTCCACATGTCAAGTTCACTGCCTCTGCTAATTGACAACTTTCAACTCTCTCTGGCATCTGCTCTGAGCTTGGGCACCTGCTTGTTATGTTTACTAAGGTGGCATTAAGTAGTTCTTAAACATGTATGGGTGGGTGTTAACATAACTTCACTGTATCTACCTCAGCTCTTCCCAAATTTTGCTCTCTGGACACATTTTATGTTTAAATGTTCTAGATTCTTCTTAAAAGCTAAATTATAGGATTTCTGTGCAACATTCATGGTTTGAGTCTTCCTTCCTTTAAGTATTTTATCAAAAAAGAGAAAAAGAAACGAAAAGTAAAGTCAGTCAAACACTTTCCTAAAATTGGTGGTTGCTGAAACGAAGCCAAGATAAAAAAAAAAGTTAAAAAAATATTCATATTGACTGAGATTAGAAAAATCTAGATAATAACCACAAGACAGAGAGTGAGAGCTGAAGGAACATGAGGAATGTCAGAGTATTCCAAAGTTTCTGTAGATTACTGTAAGATATAGATATCAAACTTCAAAAAGTAAGAATGGATTATAAAGGAACATAGAACAAGTGCAAATAACTGAATAACAATGATAGAAAAAGGTCAGATAAATAAAAAACTGCAATGAATATAAGTGACCTAAATTTACCTATTAAAGGAAAACCCGTTGACAGATTAGATTACAAATTTCTAGATCTTTTCTGTGTAGAATACTGGAAGATTAAGAGTAAAATCATTGTTTTCTTTAAAGAAAAATCAATGTCAGGCAATATAAAATATAAAAGTTTCAATTACCTAAAATATAGTAAAAATTTAAACATCTATGCTTTTAATAAAATAGTCTCAAAATACATGAGACAATAATATTGTCACTAAAGGGAGAAAACACAATCCTAAAGGAGATTTCAGATGAAATGGAAAGCAAGGAAGAGAGATTATTAGTAAATACAGAAGATCTAAAAAACAAAATGAGCAGACTTTCCCTAAAATATTTATGGAATTCTACTTCCAACATTAGAGGTTGCAAGTTTTTCTCAACACATATCAAAGTTTTGCAAAAATTGACACTATTCCAAGGCATAAAGAAAGGCTCAAGATATTTCTTAAAATAGGATCAAATAGATAATCATCTCTCAATCACAATGCAAGTGAATTACAAGGTAATAAATAAAAGATAAATTCAAAATTCTCACGCTTGTAAATTAAAGTATATACTGCTTAAATAGCTTATGAATTGAAAAGAAATTATAATACAAATGTAATTATTCCTAGAAACAAAAGATAAAATAAACCCTTCATATAAAAACTGAAGTAAGAATATAAATGAGAGAAAATTTAAAAACAAGTAGAAGAAAGTGTGTATTAAAAATAAGAGCAGAAATGAAAAATAATTAAAAAACAACAACAAAAATAAAGAAGAAGATCTGCAACATCAAAATTTGGTTCTTTGATAAAATTCCAAAGGCTTATTAAGAGAAAAAGGGCAAAGTCACAGTTAAATAAAAGTATAGTATAATTGAAAGGGGGAACTTAACTGCAGATTAATTAGGCATTTAAAAATGTAATAAAATAATGAAATCAACACTTATATGCTAACCATTTTGAAGACATAAGTCAAATGAATTTCTAGGAAAAGTGTTACTCACCAAGAATGATTCTAGGAGAAATAAAAGACATATATACCTGTAACTATTAAGGACATTGAAGCTTTGTTTATCAGAAAGCACAACTTATCTTTAAAAAATATATACCTTTCCAATTTTGTACAAACTCTTTCAGTAAATAGGAAAAAAGAGTGAATATTTCCCAGTTAATTCTAGAAGTCATCAAAACCAGACAAATACATTAAAATAACTTTATGAAACAAAAAAAGTAAGTCCATTTCACTCATGAAAGAAGACAGAAAAACTCTAAATATAACATTAGCAAACCAAATCTGATTGTATAAAAATGTAATACACTGTTACAAAATCACATTGACCCAAGACATGTAAAGATTGTTTAGTATCAGAAAATTTATAAAATTCACCACATTAACAGAAAAACAAAGAGGGAAAAGGGGATCATCTCAATTGATACAAAGAATCTTTAAAAATGTTAATATCCTTTTATAATAAAAGTTATTCATAAATTAGGAGGAGATGGTGTCTTCCATAATGTGATAAAGAGTATCTGTGTAATTTTGGAGGAAAGATTATTGCAGACAGGGAAACATTAGAAATAGCACCTTCAATACTAAAACTGAGAAAAGGACATCTACCTCTTCTATTTCATATTGTATTAAAGGTGCTATCCAGTGCAATAAAACATGAAAAAGAAATTAAAGTCATGAAGATTAGAAAAAAAGGAAACAGAACTATTGTTCTTTGCAGAGACTAGAAAGCACATATCTATAGATATATTGGCAAAAATAATAGAAGAGTTTGTCAAGAAAGCTGTTTTTTGTTAATATACAAAAGCCAATTGCATGTTTAAACATCAGCAATGAACATCCATAAAATACGATTAAGGAGAAGTTACTACTTATAAGAATATCAGAAAAGATCAAGTATTCAGGAATAAAAGGGTGCACAAATCCTCTACTGGCAAAATTGTGAATTTTATTAAAAGATATGTGGAAAGAACTAGTTAAATGTAAAGAAATATGTTTATGAATAACACAATTGTCTACTATCCTCCACATTTATTTAAAATTTAGCAAAATTCCAATCAAAATCCCATCAGGGTTTTACAGAGAACTTGGTAAAATTATTCCAAAGTCTAACAGGCCTGAGATGGTAAAGCACACACCCAGAAGAAGAACAGCTGAGGGGTCTTCCTTACCACAAATTGGGTTGTATTAAGCCATACAATTATGCTTTGCAAATGTATGTGAATATATGATATCTATCAATAATTTATCCACTAAAAAATTACAAGTGTGGCAAGAGTTTTCTAAAGAGAGTTTATATAGAAGAGCAAAAGGCAGAAGAAAAGACTAATGAAAGAAGATTTCATAAAGGACACCAATTTTGAACTCTCAGAGAAAATGAGTGTGAGGAAAGTGAGGAATCATAGAATCTGAGAAGATGGAAACTTGAGGATGAAATAACCGTAATATCATATGCACCCGAGTTTCAAGTAAGTAAGAGATTGCCTAATTGAGCAATTAGGAAGCTATTTACGGCTTTGGTGAGCATAGCTTCTCTAGAGCAGTGGAGATTGGAATCAGATTATAAAGTCAAGGAGAGAATAGCAGCTGAAGAATTAGAAATGCAAAACGTTAGTTAATCTTTCAGAAAGCATGGCTGCAAAGGAAAGCTTAGCGATGAGAAGCTGGTAGAGACAGTCTGGCCTTGGAAAATAATTTTCAGGATTGGAGCTGTTTAAGCTGTAAGAGAATTATATGGGAGTGGGGATAAATGATGGATTAAGGTACTAGAAAACATATAAGGGATTTAAGAACAAAGGTGGAAGTGTTTGTCATGAATAGAAGTTGCAGCTAAATTTCTCATAGTGGAGCAAATGATTCTTGTCTGTGTGCGTGTGTGTGAATATAGGTTCTTCTGGGGTTTTGGGTGGAAGTTTTTGAGAAGGGGAGGCAGATCACACCTGATAACTTCAGTTTTCTGGAAGAAATAAGACACAAATTTTCTGATTAAAGTGAGGAGAGGAAATTGACTTGGGGCTTATTGAGTTATTGATGATACTAGACTATACTTCTGCCTGAAGTTCTCTTGATTGAATGGATTGGAATTCTGCTCCTAACCTGCTGCTCCTAGGGGTCTTTAATTCTCATCTGGACTCTGTCTGCCCTTAATTTCCACTGGTTTTCCTCCTAATATAAGACTACCTTTGGAGTAGCATCTCAACAATGAAACTTTGCTGACTGTGTCCTTCATAACTTCAATTAGCTCCCAAGCATCTTCCCTATAGAAACTTCACTAGCTTGCCTTTGATTAATTGTCTATTCTCTACCTTTGTTACAAATCATATCTGGATGGATTTGAGGTTAATTTCAGCATTTTAACATCCTATATCTGTAGTGTCGATAATCAACTTTGTTCGTTTTTTTTGCTGGAAGTAGAATCAGTATGTAGAGAATGCAATCTCATGTAACAATTTCAAATAAAAAAGTTTGAAGAGAATTTATGAAGATAATTACGTTTCTAAGGGAAAAAACAATTTCATTGGAGTCAAAGAATGACAATCAAGTTGATACATGCCTCTCTGGTTATGAACAAGATAACCATCACCATGAACTCTCCTTTGGGCTTCTAATGGACATGGAAGAGGAAGGAACTGTGAGAAATTTAGATATTAAGCTGGCTTTTAGTACAATCTGAAAGAGTAATTTTGGCTTTAAGTTAAAATATGGGAGGGAGGAGTGGCAAAACGTTATTCTAGTCAAGTTTGATAAATATAATTTGCACAGGTCTAAGTTGAAGACAGTCAAAGCTTACTAAGAAATTTAATAAGTCGTACTGCATTGTAAATGATAAAGAAAATCCCATGCTCATGCTAGCCAATTATCAAACTAGATAAATCCTGGCCCAGATTTAAAGACCTGTTATAAAGCCCTGATTCATTGGGCTAACTCCCTCTGTAGACAAAATACTCATTTTGTAGCTAGCCAACCTCTTTAAGAACTTGTGAAAGCTAATTGTTGCTCATTATGTCAATCCAATTTTTTTCCTGGTTTTCTAG